TGCTCGTGCTCTTGCCAATAATGCCGAAGGGAGGCAGGGGCTGCAGCTGCAGCTCCTGCTCGTGCTAATGCCAATAATGCCGCAGGGAGGCAGGGGCTGCAGCTGCAGCTCCTGCTCGAGTTGGCGTGGGAACAGGCCAGAAATAGCCTGTTCCGAAACCCAGTTTTCGTGCCTGAATCTTAGGGCAGGTCGAAACAAATGAGGGCCTAAAAATAGCCCAGGGCCTAAGAATAGCCCTCCGTTTCAGGCTGGAGAAACTCTGGGTCTGAAAGACCCAGAAATAGGCTGAAACGGAGTAGGGCCTGCAGGCCCTCGTTTTTCAGTTTTCAGGCTGAAACGACCGGGGCCTGTAGCTCCGAAGTTTTAGGCTTTAAGGCTGAATGTCCGGGACGGGTCCTACAGGGCCCGTGTGGCTACGCAGTCTGCCACATGTGACCTGATGTTTTGCAGCTTTTTCTTTTATCAATTTGTCATTATGGCCTTGCACGAATCTTTTTGTATCGCACCTTTCTGTACTAGCAAACTTCTTATGCTGGTTTTGTTGCTTCAGTTTCTGGGGCTTCGTCTCCAGATTGATTTTGTTTTGAATAATAACCTGGAATGCAGTCTCTGACCTTTTTTCCCTGTTTGGGTTTGTTGTACTCGTTGTCCTTGCTGTGCTCATCTCATCTGTGTTCCGGCAGAGCTGTGATCCGCCTTTTGTTGTTGAGCACTATCATTACTTGGATTGGCCAGACCATGGAGTGCCGATGACAACTCGTCCGATCAGGGACCTGATGCGCCATCTTCGTCTCTCCCAGATATCCGGTGGCCCTTTCCTTGTTCACTGCAGGTGTGTGTGGCCATTGTTTCTTTTTGGGCATCACCGCCTCAGGTCTATGCACAGTCACACTGAAGGTGTGACTTTGTTTTCTTGGTTTGCTGTGTATCGTTTTTCTTTCCTTTTGTTTGTCCTTTTTGTGTAAATCCCAACTGCTTAATATAAGGTCACTGTCCATTTGACATATCTGTGACCGTGGCTGCTCGTCATCTGCGCTCTGGATAGGATGCTAAGCAAAGGATGATGGGAGGTCTCAGCATGTGTTTCCCGTTGCACGCGCAATGTGGCGGAATGGTCGATGGACTCGTCTGTTTGCAACTTTGCACTTGTTGAGTTCCACATCACCTCTGCTTTTATATGGGTTCTTTTCTCCAGTTGTAGCGGTGTTTAGTATCATGCTCCAGCTCAACTTCAGGCGAAGAAAGGCAATTATTGGACCAGCGCAGGAGCATCAAGCACGGATTTTTGTGTCTGTGCCATGTCTTGGATGAGATTTGCTGATCAAGTTGGGAGAGAATGTCACAGTCACAGTCAATCAAATTGTCATAGTTGGGGTATTGCTGGCCTTTGGGTGGTGAATCTGGCGATGCATCACCTATGGTGACTCCTGGCCTATGGTGGTTCTTGATGTCCTGTGCTGTGGAACGTACCCCAATCCAAATTCCTTTTGGCCTAGAAACATAGAAAGTTAGTAGAAACCGGTTGGGGCGGAGGGGAAAAAAAAAAAAAAGTAAATAGAAAACTTGTGCTCAGCCTGGAGAGAGAGAGAGAGAGAGAGAGAGAGAGAGAGAGAGAGAGAGAGAGAGAGAGAGAGAGAGCATTGACCCTGTACGTTGTAATTTTTGCATGGGCGAAACTATGGTGGCTATCCATATTGACAAGGTACTATCCATATTGACAAGGTACTGAGCATACGTTTTGTTTCTTCCTAAGCTTATAATTGATGCTTTTTGTCCAGAGTATTCCTTCTGCCAACGAGACGCTGCAGCCCTGGATGAACCCAAACTGCCATATATATGGCTATGTGCACAGCAGGGCATCTACTATTCTCTTACCTCCTTTTTGTCACCTGGGTTTGGCAGGGTTGCGGACGAGCAGCGGGAAAAAACGAAATGTTGTGCTTGCTGGCTCTAGAATGTGTGTGTGTGTGTGTGTGTGTGTGTGTGTGTGTGTGTGTGTGTGTGTGTGTGTGTGTGTGTCTGTGTTTGTGTTTGTGTGTGTGTGTGTGTGTGTGTGTGTGTGTGTGTGTGTGTGTGTGTGTGTGTGTGTGTGCATGCTCCCGCATGCGTGGGTGTGTGCGCGCGTGTTTGCAATTGTGCTCGTGTGTATAACAATCCATGCAGTCTGTGTCTTGCTGGTGTAGTGTGAGATTAATGACGCTCAGTTGATCATACACCGGTGGGCCGGAAAAGTCCAGTGAGAGTATACCTGCCTACACTTCCCTGGATTTTTATGACAACAACTATTGGCTTGCGTGGAGGAAGTGTTCATGCGAGTGTGCTGGTAAGTTGTTTTGACTAAATGTGTCATGTAAGAAGCCTCGGTAGAGTTGAAACAGCGAGAGGTATCTGTATATATCCATAGGACGCAAAAAAAAAGTGCTGAATGTGACGGCAATTAATGTGTAGGGAGGAAGGAGTGTGCTGACTGAGGACACGATTGCATGGATTATGATTGTCTTTTTTTGCAGTGCTGGGATTGGGCGAACAGGTGCTTACTGCACGATAGATCTCACGATTAGGCGAATCCTGAAAGGGAATCTTGCTGCAATCAACGTGCGAGAAACTGTGAAGAATTTGAGGAAGCAGCGTGCGGGAATGGTGCAGTCTAAGGTAGGCTCAATCTTGAACCATTCAAAACCCCAATGCAACCCCATCTACATGGTCCGTGTGTACTTGATGCCACAGGTGTCTATCTATGCCTTGCCTTCGTCAAGCTTACTCCATGTATTCACTGTGAGTTCCCTTTGGGGGGATTTGTAAAGAAGCAATATGCATATAAGATCACTATCTTCCCCTCAACATAACCTATATGAGGCATGGCCTATTTGACTTGACCATATAGGTGGTAGGTACTCTATCTGGTGGTAGTACCGTGGTACTCTATTTGAATTAAGTTCCCTGTGCTCTTTATTACGGTCATACAGGGGGCTACTTTTGGGCCAGTTGATGGAGGAGGGGTTTGATTGGAGTTGCTTAGTTTTAGGGGTTAGTTTGGGAGAAGAGGGGTTTGGGTTTTGGTTTGGGTTTGGGGTTTTCTCAGTTTGGGTGGTCAGGTAGGGTGGGGAGAAGGGGGGGTGGGTGGGAGGTGTGTTAGTTTTTCATTTTCTTCCTTTCCTTTTCTCCTTTCTGACTTCTTCAAAAAATGGTGGATGCTGGAGATGTGGTCTCATGCCTGTTTGTTTATTCAACTTCATCATTTATTGATTGATTACAAGTCGGCCCGCCGAGCCTACCGTCGTACATCCGAGATCTGTAGGGTTGTGAGAATGTACATTGAATGTTCGTAGAATGTTCATTGCATTCAACATATAAAAAGTTTGTCGGAATGTAGATTGCAAATTCTGAGCGCGCATTTGATGCTGTTGCAGGAGCAATATTTTTTCTGTTTCATGGCAATCCGCGATGAGCTCACGGACCTGATTGAGATGGATAAGCGGCGCCATGTGCTTGATCTGGGTCCCCATCCAGGGACAACATGACGGTGTGTCATCGGCGGCAGCTTTCTATTTTTAATGGCCGGGGGCGATTGCGACAACAGCACCTCGTCATGATGAGAAGAACACTGGCAAGGCGTCGACGACCTCCAGGAGTGGTGTTTGTTGCAAAGTTGGTGAACTTGGGAGGATATCGGTTTGCTGAGTTCGTGGGACTCGCGCATTCGAGATTGTCGCCATGCTTCGTGACGACTGGAGAAACTGTTGTTGTTGGCGGAGTGGTGGTCTTGGATGATGATGACCTTTTTCAACGGAACTGCAAGGTTTGCGGAAGGAAATAGGAAGGTGTCATGTCACCTCTTTGCTGAGTCGTTGGACTCTCACTCCTGGGATCGATTCTTGGGCTGCTTGGTCACCGGCAGGAGGGGTGCATGCTGTTTATGAGTCCAGAGGGTCGCTCCACTAACTCCCCCGTGCATTTGTCTTCAATTTGGGAAAGGAGGTGTTCCTATCGAGGAGATTGGGCGCAAAAGAATTGTCATTGCGCGAAGGCAGATGTGGCCACAGCAGTGAGTGACCCGATAACGTCCGGAGCTGAGAAGGCAGGTCTGCCAGAGACCTGGGTGATGGATGAAGATCTCCACCGGATTGGATTGCCGCACCGCGTCGTGTGTAAACAGGCTGTCTGTCTACTTTCGTTAGTGAGTGGGCTCTGTGACAAGGCTGTATGGACGATTCGCATTGCTCTGTGCTTGCCCAGTTCTGTGGGGCTGGGAGGGTGTTTGTCGTGGAGTTTTGCAGCCTCGGGCCTCATCTTCTGTACACGTTCGCGATTGCTTTCTGAATGGCTGACTTGCAGCCTTTCTGCCAAGTCAGCATTGATCAATCAGCTGCACAGTGGAGGGCGCCCCAACTGGTTTGGGTGGAGATGGAGACTTTGCTCGGGAACTGAAATGCTTCTGAGACATGCCCCATGAGTCATGACAGAGCATCTGGATAACAGTTGTGGGGTGTATACTCACGCATATTGTTAAGAGGATATATTGCAGCATGGCCCCCGTCTCAATTCACTTCTTATCAGAAACTTGAGGAGGAGGATTCGCAGCTGGACAATATCTAGACGACTCTGTCAACGAGCTGCTGTTCACAATCCTCAGCACTTGTGGGCTTCGTTTTTCATCGTTTTTCCTTTGTCTTCGTCCCCGTTGTCCTTCCCCTGCACCATCTTTTGCTGCCTTATTGCCGACTTCCTCCTCGTCCTCTTCCACTCCTGAGATGGGTTTCTGCATCAGTCTTTATGTATATATACAGTCCTTAGAGAGCAGAGCTGGATCTGATCTGATCTTCGACCAGATCCATTCTTGAATTTCTTGGTATTTGCTAAAGCATGGAAGTGCTTGAGCGGTGGAATCGCTGCTCGTGTTTTGTGTATATGGCGAAGACACGGGTTTGTATCCCGTATAAGGAGCACGGTTGACTCTGAATTTGCTGGCCACGAAGGTGGGCTATTGTATTGTAGTCGTGTAGTTTCTCCGTGTGGTTTTCCTTTTTTTGGTGATTTGCTTCTCCGTTGGTCCTTCTGTTGTTTCGCGAAGCTGTTGCGAGCTTTACCTTGTTTGATTGCCTTTCATTTTTGACGATGTTGGAATCTCTCTTCCCGACCTCTGGAATTGTGCTTTGTAATTCATTGCCTTTGCCCATTTTACTTCTGAAAGTTTTTGTTTGCCTGGAGCTCCCTGAAAAGTTTTTGTTTGCCTGGAGGTCCCTGTTTCCTTCCGTACCTGACGAGCTAACCATCTGACGGTCAGGAATGTGCCGGCAGTTTCGTTTCTAAAAACCCTGTAGGACCACAAATGCACACAGTTAGAGTGGGGCATGGAGGGAGGACCATTTGTGAGGCTTTCCTGTGGGATCTGGGAAGAAGGCATCAGTTTTCAGTCAATGAAAAGAGGGTTCTCTTTGTGGTGTCTGGAGGTAGAGATTTTGGGTGAGGGGTTCGATTGCGAAATGGGAGAGTGCTGCTCGTCGCCTTTGCCTGTTTTGACTTGCCCACTAGGCGGGCAAGTCAAACACTGTCCTGATCCTGTGGGCAAGTTTGTCTTAAGGATCCCTCTCCTCTCCTGGCTTGTGTACTCTTATCCCTCCTCAGAACTGTTGTCTTATCTGGCTGTAGCTACTGTGCCCCCTTTTCCCCCAGTTGTAACTATGGGCAGGTAGGTTCACACTGCTGTACTGGTTAGAACGGGGCTATTGTCTTAAGAATGGCCTCGAGTTGGAGCACAAGGGCGTGGGCGTGTTGTTAGTTACCTTGTGTCTGTCCTCCAACTCAATAGCCACAGTATGTGTAGGTTACTTGTTGTTTCCATGCTTTCTAATTGCTTCTATAGTATTGATACTCCTGTCTCTGCCCCC